ATTAGCCTACATGAAAAGGGAGAACGCAGATGTTTTACTGTTTGGGGACAGTGGGTGGGGGTGTCACAAAGTGTCACGGGCAGTCACAGCATAGAGGATGTCAAACCCTCCTCAAAAATCAGTGGCGTGATCAATGGATGGCCCCTTTCTTAATACACTTGATTTAATAAATGCTATCCAGTTTAATCAGCTCAAAACTTATAATAAATTCATATAATAAATGTTTTCCAGGTATCACAGTGTACAGTATGCCAGAAAATGTAAAAAGACATAAAGCTTGAGAAGGACTACACACGAATCAAGGTACAAACTCCAAATAAAGCCAATAAGCTATCATTATATTAGGCTTTCATTACATTTGCAGGTTTATTAATGTTACATACATGCTCCTTCTGCAGTTACATTACATTTATTTAATTTACAAATGTAACATTATGAATTTTTAAACTTTCTTCTTCTATTAATGTTTGTTTTGGCAGAGCAAGGTTCCATTCGAATTGATTGGAATGGACCTAGTTGGTCAAATCTGACCAGGAAAATCAGTACATCTGTGTTATCATTGACTATTGCACCAGATGGCACAGGCATATGCCATAAAATCTAAGTCAGCGTTTGAAATTGCTGAAACAGATTCTAACTGATCAATGCAAAGGGTTTGTCAATACTGTCAATAATGTCCATTGCTATGCAAACAGTTTAATGTAGATTATACAAATCTATGTTAGTCCACCAACACATAAATAAATATGTGTTTTCACATAACTTTTGTAGATCAACACTGAGGTCTGCAAAGTGCTTGGCATCAAGAGAAGTCTCTGTGACCCATACCACCCTCAGACCAACGGACTGGTAGAGAGGCTCAATGGCACCATACAGAGGAGAAAAATGCATCCAGCACAGTGTGTGTTTGTGTGTGTGTGTGTATATATATATATATACAAAAACACACTACATATATATATATATGTAGTGTGTTTTAGACATATTTGTCACACAGCTTCAGAAGCACTTTGCCTCCATAGCTGATAAAGCATTCCCATTACTTAATTTTTTAGAGCTCTTGCAAAACTGGTGGAGGACAAGCCAAATACCTGGGACGAATATTTGGACGCGGTCATGTTTGGGCTGCGCACAAAAAAACAGCTCACAACACAGTTCTCGCCATATTATCTCATGTTTGGGAGAGAAGCGCGAAACCCATCCAAGGTCCCAGAACATTATCAGGTATAGAAATATACTCATTTGTGTCTCCTAATTTTGTGTAAATATTTGATAGTAATGCTTTGTAGATAATATCATCAATATCGTGTTTCCATAGCTTGATGGTTCCTTTGAGGATGACTACACTAACGAAGAGATGGCCATTGATATGAGTGTCATGAGAAAATAATGAACATTGTTGATGAACACACTGAAAAACTGCATGCCAGAACAAGGGGAAGGCTTTCAAAAAAGGCACAGCAAAGCCTTCAGGTGGGGGATTCGGTGTGGAGGAGGAATGTCCGCAGTGAACAGCGGAAAGGGGGAAAGCTGGAGGGGAGGGAGGCAGCCTACACAATATACACACACAGAGGTACAGACAGTAAAGATGATGTTGCTACAGACCAAACGAAAAATGGTACAGATATTTATAGTAGTGTTAATGATAACAATCGTAATGTTAATGATTATAATGACAATAATAATAATAATAATAGGACTAGCAACAATAGTCGTTGCAGCAGAGGGTGCCGAGCAGGAACACGGGGGCAGCAGGTGACCCGCAGCCACAGATCCAGACTCCACAGCTCCAGAGCCAGAAAACCTGCAGGAAGTGATAGGAGGAGAGAAGGGAAAAGTGATCTTGTGGATTCAAAGGTGTCCATACACAAGATCAGCATTGACCACCTTAAGCACCACTATGAGGAGACCGTCTCGGGTTACGTATGTAACCCTTGTTCCCCTTCGAGGGAACTTGAACTGCGTCGGTGATGACACTATAGGAACGCCTCTGGGCGTGGCAGGGCTGAATTATGAATGAAACTACTCCAATTCTATTGGTGTTGCTAGAACGGTAGCGTGTGATGGCGTAACCGGAGGCGTATATAAGCACGCTGGCACACAGGACACATTAGCCCTTTTCTATGAAGCAAGGCACTCCAGGCGGGGTGAGGTGTGGCAGACCGACGCAGTGTCTCGTTCCCCTTCTCGGGGAACACGGGTTACATATCTAACCCAAGACGTTCCCCTTCGAGGGAACTCGAACTACGTCAGTGACGACATTATGGGAATGGGATACCCACTTAGGCCGCGCCGAAACCTAACGGCACGACTAGGAGGAGAGCGCCCGGGTGCAGAAGGAAGGTCCAGACTGTAAAACCGGATTAAAGTGTGAGGGGTAGCCCAGCCAGCCGCATCACACAAATCCAGGAGCAATGCCCCTGCGAGGAGGGCACCAGAAGCCGCCATGCCTCGAGTAGAGTGCACCCTTACAGCCATAGGTGAAGGCACACCGCGCACCTGATAGGCCAGGGAAATAGTCTGAATGATCCAGTTGCTGATGGTGTGTTTAGAAGCGAGGAGCCCAGCCTTGGGGGACCCGAAACACACCCGCAACTGGTCTGCTTTCCTCCACCGGGAAGACCTCAGAGTGTAAATACTCAGCGCTCTGACAGGGCAGAGCAGATGAAGTCTCCCGTCCTCCGCCGTCACATGAGGTGGGGGGATGAAACGCCTGCAGCACCGTGGACCCTGCCGAACTGGACGGAACCTCAGGGACATAGCCAGGACAAGGGTGCATGATGGCCCTGACCCTCCCCGGGGCAAACTCCAGACATCGAGGAGAAACCGAAAGTGCCTGGAGATTCCCCACCCTCCTCAGAGAGGTGATAGCGAGGAGAAAGGTCATCTTAAGGGTCAGGTGCTTGGCCTCAGCAGACTCCAGGGGTTCGAAGGGGGCCTCAGCCAGCACTTCGAGAACCACTGCCAGGTCCCAAGTGTGAACCCTGGAACAAGTCACAGGTCTCATCCTCCGGGCTCCACGGAGGAAGCACACGACCAGTGGAAGCCTCTCCAAGGGCCCATCACTCAGAGGGGTGTGGAATGCTGCAACGGCAGCCACATATACTTTGAGCGTGGACAGGGAGAGGCCGGCGGAGAAACGGTGCTGGAGAAACTCCAGTATCATAATTACAGAGCAGGTAACTTGGTCCACCGCCTGTTCTCTACACCATGTGGTGAACACATTCCACTTCAGGCCGTACATCCTTCTCGTGGATGAGGCTCTAGAGCTGAGTAGTGTCTCGACCGCTCCTGCCGTTAGGCCCGCAGAACTGCGCCAGGAATTGCGACCCCTCAGGGGCCAGATCCACAGCTGGGGTGCGGGTGAAAGATCCCGCCCTCCGCCTGGGACAGCAGGTCTCTCCTCAGAGGGACCTGCCAGGGCGGGCCCTCGAGGACCGAGAACCACACTCGTGCCGGCCAAAACGGGGCTACAAGTAGTAGGCTGACGCCGTCCTGACGGACCCGCTCCAGGTCTATGGGGCCGAACTTTTCGCATAATAACTCCACCACCTTGGGGTGGAGTCTCCATTCCCCCGGCCTCAGCCCCTGTCTCGACAGCAGGTCTGCTCCCTGATTCTGGGTCCCGGGGACGTCGCTCTGAGGGACAGCAGTCTCTGCTGGGACCACAGGAGGATCTGATGTGGCTGTTTGCATAACGGGCACGAGCACAGACCGCCCCTGGTGATTCAAATAGGCCACCACTGCCGTATTATCGGTTCTGACAAGGACGTGGCGACCGTGGAGGGTAGGGAGAAAACTCCTCAGACTCCTCCGCCAACATTTCCAGGCAATTTATGTGCCAGGAGAAATGCTGCTCAAATATGTTACACCTGGCCTAGGGGAAGCCTGAGCGCAACATGATGTCTCCTCTTTTCCTTTTTCCCACTCCCCATGAATCATCAAAGGGCTACGGGATATTCTGACAGTTAATGTTAGATTTATTCACAAATGGTATAGAAAACCAAGACATCAGGGAGAGCTAGGCCAAAACAACAAACAAAACCACCTTTTCCCCTCCCAATAATTAATCCTACAACAAAGTAAAATACAAAAGGAAAGAACAAACACTTAACCCGACTCCCTGGCCAGAAAACAGGAGAAAACGATATTCAAAATAAATGGCAGCTCTCCCCTACTGTTTTCCAACATTACACATGAACCTGAATCTCCTCAGAGATTGGCTCAGGGACCGCAGATCCAAAATCGGACGTAAGTGGGTCCCCCTTCTCGAAGCCTCAGGACCTCTTCCCCCAGACCCGCCAAGACTGAAGGACGGTCCTCAGATCCGGGGCTGTGGGCGAGAGTGCCGCCTCGCATCCCAGGTTGGTTGAGGGGACCCCGTGAAGCGACGCTCTGCTTCTGGCTGCGGCTCCGTAGCCGTGCTATCTGTCACGTTGCCGTAGTCCAGCCGGGGGGACGTAGACAGCCGTGCAGAGAAGGGTTTGATCCAGAAAAAGTGGCAAGGGCCGACGCGGGGGTGGTACTAGGTGCTGCAGAAACCGCTCGTCCAATTTACTGCCAGCCGGAGGCTCCTGCACAGCCCGCGTCACCACTTCCAACAACTCATCGTATCCGGGCGAGGGCTGATGATGAAGTCATCTTCCACGATGCTAAGCACATCTAGCTCCTCAGAGCCAGACCGTGCAAGCCTCTCCGGACTCGAAATGGGCTCCCGACCGGGGAAGAGGGGAGGAGGATTCCGCAGATAAGGACCGGGAAAAGACCTCAGCCGTCCCGGAGATCTCACGCTGTGATCCACAGGATCGGAGCCACCGCGACGCTTCAGCAACCGCAGGGCCTGAGCCACGGCAGTAGCGCATCCGACCATTCTCCAGGAAAAGAGCCGCTTGAGACCTCACCTCTAAGTGTCTGACACATGGACACTTAGTTAGTTTTAAACTGGACATTGCTATTTTTGTGCAATATTATCTGTTTAATAATTAATGTGCAATATTCTCTGCTGCAATTTATTTACTATTCCATTTATGGACCGGCGGGGCTGAAGCCGGTCCGTCCGCCAACAGAACACGAGGAGCAGGGGTCGGCCGGACCACCGGCGGGGCTGAAGCCGGTCCGTCCGCCAACAGAACACGAGGAGCAGGGGTTGGCCGGACCACCGGCGGGGCTGAAGCCGGTCCGTCCGCCAACAGAACACGGGGACCAGTGGCCCTAAGGGGCAAGGGATCGGGGGGGCCAGGCTGGAGGCTGGCGGCGCTAGCAGGTTGGGGATCAGGGTCTAACTGGGGCCTAACCTGTTGGGGATCAGGGAGAAGCTGGGGGCTAGCGGCGCTAGCAGGCCATGGGACAGGCTGGGGGCTAGCGGCGCTAGCAGGCTGAGGGACTGGGCCAGGCTGGGGGCTAGCGGCGCTAGCAGGCTGAGGGACTGGGCCAGGCTGGGGGCTAACTGGCTGGGGATCTAGGGAGAGTGGTGCAAATTGGCGGGAGCCGTGATGGCCACGTCTCCTCCGATGGCCACCACGGCCCCCACAGAAGACGGCCAGGCGGGTTCCCTCGAACTGAAGACGGGGGTCAAGCGTGGTGTCGGGCGAACACGGAGAACAACAGGCAGGCCGGGGAACGCTCGGGACAGGCTGGTGGCTAGCAAGCTGGGGATCTGGACCAAACTGGGGGCTAGCCGGTTGGGGATCAGGAGGGATAGGTGGGAACGGCAGAGGGCTGGAGTCAACAAAATGTCTGGCCCACTTAGGCAGCCAACGCCGCTTCCATGGCCTTACGGCTATCACCTCCCAGTGAGCCTGAACGTGGGCAGCTTGGCGAGACTCGAGGTCGGATGCCAACTGCCACATAGACCACAGCTCTGCCAAGACATCCAAGAACATGTCCCTCTCCGCTTTTGAGTCTGCTGGGTCCATTGGTGGCTTGATCGTTCTGTTACGGGGTGTGGTGTGTGGACAGAGAGGACCCAAATGCAGCATTCAGAGGGAAGGAGGTTTATTGGGGGAAAAAAGGGTGAGAGGGACTGGAGTGGAGGGAGAGGAGGACGTCGGGGAAGTACTGGCAACCAAGGAGACAGGGGGCCAGGGAGCCGGGGAACACAGGGGCCAAGGAAGCGAGGAGAGGCAGGGGTACAGGGAGGACGCCGAGAGGGAGGTCCGAAGGGGAGTGGGCCAGTGGATGAGCCCAGCCGAACGGAGGACGAGGGTGAGTGTACCTGGGAGGGAAACAGACAGAGAGACAAGGTTAGGGGGAGACAATGACAAGGCACAGGGTAAGTTTGAAAAAACAAGAAACGTGGAAGCCTGAACACAGAAGTGGCACCAGGTATGGAGCAACTACGATCAAGCGAGGATAGTTGGCTGGGCTCAGGAGCAGAGGGAGAGAGAGCACACGGGGGAGAAAACACAGAGAGGCGGGCAGAGGAAACCAAGGAAAAAAGCAGAAGAACTGATAAAAAGTAGAAAAAAACAGGACACTCACCGTCAGCCGGGCTGACCATAATAATTCTTAATAATGTAAATATTGTACATACCCACACTCCTTTATATTTTTCTTATATTTTATATTTATACTCTTATATTTATATACTCTTTATCTATCTACCTTTTATTACTATTTCTATTCCTTATGCCTTGACAAGTGTGCAATTGTGACAAAGAATTTCCCCTCGGGGATCAATAAAGTATTTCTGATTCTGACAACAACAAACTGGCCTACAGAGAGGAGGTGAAACACCTGGTGGACTGGTGTGACACAATCTAATCCTGAATGTCAACAAAACAAAAGAGATTGTCATTGACTTCAGGAAAAATCAGCCAAGTCACACCCCCCTCTACATCAATGATGCATCAGTGCAGCGGGTCAGCAGCATCAAATTGTTCACCTGTTCCCTCCACACCTCTGCTCTTTTGAAGAGAGCACAGCAGCGTCTGCACTTTCTGCATGGGATGAGAAGAGCAAACCTCCCCCCTCCCATCCTCACCACTTTCTACGGAAAAACAACAGAGAGCATACTGACCAGCTGCATGTCTGTCTGGTTTGGTGCCTGCAACGCCTCAGAATGGAAATTTGTAGAGAGAGTGCTGGGGACAGCAGAGAGAATCATCGGGACAGCACTTCCCTCCATCCATGACACTGCTCGCAGATGCTGCCTGACCAGTGCTCAGACAATCACAAAAGACCCCTCCCACCCTCACAATGGACGGTTCACCCTGCTGCCTTCTGGCACGGGGTCCAGCAACATCAAAAGCAGAACAACAAGATTCCATAACGGCTTCATCCCCCACGTCATAAGACTGCAAAACTCCCCAAAATCCCCCCTCCCATAAATACAACACCAATCACTTTACATGGATACTGTGAACTCTACTGCACTGAGGAACTGTTACTATCTGCACTATTTATATTGTCCGTTTCACTGTTACAATACATCCTGCTGCTACAGATATTTGCACTATTCATATTGTCTGTTTCATTATTATTATACATCCTGCTGCTACATAAAATCTGTCACAATTTTTTTATTCAGTTTATGTTTCTTTTATATTTTATATTGCATGTATTTATAGTTATACTGTTTTTCTTTTACTTGTCTTCTGTTATTTATTCAGAGCCTTGCAACAAAATCTTGCTCAAATGTACATTGTGAATGTGCAGTTGAATGACAATAAAGTCTCTCTAAGTCTAAGAAATGTTAAGTTATGGTTTTAGGAAAGGAAGGAATTCCATGGACTCAGTGGTGAGGCTAGAGACTGTAATAAAAAAGAGTCAGTAATTTCAGTATTATTTGACATAGAAACATGCCTATGACGTAATGTGGACAGAAGGATTGTTATTGAAGCTGCACAGCAAAGATGTTGGTGAAAGAGTTTACAAACTTCCAAGTACAGATTGGGTCATGCTTGTTAAATAAGTACCTACAAATACGAAGGTAGGTCACTGTTTGCCGATGATGGGGCCTCAGGAAGGTGGAAGGAGCAACTGACAAGGCATTGGAGAGGGGTTATGATTGGGTAAATGTAAATTCTCAGTGGATTTTTTTTTTTACCAGGAAATAACTGGGGAAGAGATGAAGCTATGGATGTATGGGAAAGATTCAGAAAGGTTCTTTTTGATTCACAGTTAACATGGGCAGAGCATATCAGGAGAATCTGAGAAGAATGGGTCAGAGAGTAATAAATGTGATGAGGTGTTTGACAGATAGGGAATGTGGAGCAACTTGCTCATTGTTGAAAAGAATGTATGTGACCTTGATAAGATCTGTCTTGGATTACAGCAGGGTAGCGTATGGCTCACCAGCCAGGAAACTTGATGTGATTTGGGCACTGGCTTTGAGAGTGTGCATTGTGGCTTGGAAATGGGAGAATGCTGTGAATTAAGAAGGATGCATCTGATGGCAGAAGACTGGGCTTTACAGGGACACAATGATTCTCACCCCACAAAGAGAGTGCTGCTGGAGTGCTAGGAGAGTGGGTGGGATCAGAGGGATACATTTTGATTGCATTTTTTGTTAACTTTTACTTCCTTCCCTAGGTATTTACCCCATTGATGTGATATGTACTGTGTACTCTTGCTAGTATTTATTGCTGCTCTTACTAGTATGTATTGTCAGTTGTAGATCTGTATTTGATGCTCTGTTGATGCTTGTATGTTGTTCCTCAAATGTAAGTCGCTTTGGATAAAAGCGTCTGCCAAATGAGTAAATGTAAATGTAAATAACTTTGGTTGGGTAGGAATGATATTCCAAAAGAAGTGTTTTATCTGAGCATAAGGCTCCATGGATGCATGTGTGGCCTGACATAGACTGATCATTAGAGGCTGGTGGTTTGATAAGTGTTTTCAACTATGTAATGAAAGATATAGTGATTTTACACAGAAACCTGAGACAGGAAGGACAGATTGTGGAGAGAAACACCAGCAAAACAAATTGTCTGTCAGTCACAAGAATCGCACATCAGGGAAGTCAGGTAAAAGGTGTGTGGGTTCCAGCACATAGGGGTGAGGGGAAATGAGAGGGTTTTAAAGAAAGGAAATATAGAAATGCAAATTATCAGTAAAGCAGAGGTTCAATGTGTAATCTGGTAAACTAATCAAATGTCAAATGTGAGAGGTGGGACATATAAAATAGAAAAGCGTGTGAAGTCTGAAACTGTTAACAAGGTTAAGGTTAGGACACTAGCCGCGACAGCAATGTGGATGTAGGCCACCCCCCCCATATAAAAGGAAATACAAAAGTCAGGTGACAATTCAAAATATAAAGCTATAGTGTAATATAATGCAGTGCAGCTCTCATGCATTCTGTATTGCTGTCAGATATGTTTCTACTGTAGATCAACATTTCTCATTTAATTTAATCCCTGCTGAGTCAAAACACATGTTGCCATGAAGTAATGTCTTTAAATGTGCATGTGGCACCTTTTCACCTCACTGAGAAATGAATTTGCCTAATTTTAATTCAGTTATAAACCACTGCACTTTAATAGCTCCTGTGTTTAAGTAGGTTTTCTGCTCATTTTCAAAACTTTCTGCACATTAACAGCACATTAACAATCTCTCCTACATATCTGTGTTGAGACGAGCTCACTGATCTTCATCAGAGGTGGAAAACACTTGTGATCAGAAATCTCACTACACATCGACACAAACTTCAGCACCTCTGATAAAGTGCAGCTCACAGCCGCCTCAGTATGGAGGACTGATCCTGACAAATTCAGAAATAAATACATAAATAAATAAATACTCAATTAATAAATAAGCATACGATTAAATGCACAAAAAAATAAATAAATGTAGGTAGTATTTAAATTATACAAGGAGACATAAATGTTTCTATTTTAATTAGCTTCTTTACTTATTCAGCTTTGTAATCATTACCTTATTTATTTATTGTCCGTTATAATCTTCAACTTTATTTATTAATTACTTCTTTTTAAATGCATTTATTTATGTGTGTGTTTTAATATTTTTGTCTGTTTCATTCGTTCTCCGCATGCTTCCTCCTGGGGCGGCTGTGGCTCAGGAGATAGAGTGGGTTGGCCGTTGATCGGAAGGTCGGCCGTTCAATCCCGGCTCCCCCAAGCTACATGTCGAAGTGTCCTTGGGCAAGATACTGAACCCTCTGGTGGCTGTTCCGCCAGTGTATGAGCATTTAGGCTCAGTGAACAAATGTGTGTGAATGGTGAATGCAAATGTGGTTGAAAAGACTAGAATTAGTTTATTTGTTAGTCACCACCACTAGCTTAAGAGCTTTAGCCTATATGATATTAGCACTACATAAATTAGCCTAGTGGCTAGCAGACTTTTCCCCTCCTCATAGCTTAACAAGTCAAGTCACTGCATCTCCCGACACAACACTACGGTTGAATTTTCACCCTGAAGGGCGTTTTTGTTGAAACTGCAGCTGATAACAGCAGAGCAACTAGCTGCTCCGTGTGGGAGCATTTACCAAAAATACTCAAATAGGAGTGCACTCCAGATTTAGCTGCCGCTAATTGAGCATGTGGCTCTCAGAAACAACAGCTCACTTTCCTGCAGTTCTGTGTCCATATAAGTCGCTCATTGAAAACTCTGTAGGTCAGAGTGTCCACATGAATAAAAGGAAGACATGGCTGGTAGTGTCTTCAAATAGAGTTGCTAAACACCTCAGCGCACTGAAGGAAGCCATCTGACTGTGTGAGGAGCAAGCTTGTTGATGTGTGCAGGCAGAGTAGGCCTAGTGCTCTCCCAAGTTCACCCCTTGAGACACAGCCCCTCCTCATTTGCATAATGAGGCAGAAATAAATACCATGGGTGAAAATAAATAGGGTAGAAAATGCAACGGAAGAATAAAACAGACAAAAATATTAAAACACACACATAAATAAATAAATAAATAAAATAAGTAATTAATAAAAAAGTTGAAGATTATAACAGACAATAAATAAATTTAATTAATAAAAGGAAATTATTACAAAGGTGAATAACTAAAGAAGCTAATTAAAATAGATACATACATTTATGTCTCCTTGTAT